CTTAGATTTCTCATTTGAAGACTTGACAAAGGTCATTTACCTGAGCAGGGAAACAGCAGCAAAGGGCAAAATAAGAGAAGGAAAAAAAAAAAGATGTTTGCTTTGGCAGATGGATCCAGATGACAGATTGTATATGGGGCTAGCGTTGGAACTCGGTTAGTATAAAAAACACATATTGAGAGATAGATGACTCAGTGGTTAGGAGAGTTTACTGTTCTTTAGAGGACCCAAGTTCAGTTCCAGCACCCATGTAGGACATCTCTAACTTTAACTCTAGTTCCAAGGGAATCTAACACCCTCTTCTGGTCTGTGAGGGCACCAGCAGACATGTGGCATATACTCGCACAGTCACACACATACAGAATTTAAAAAATAAATAAATCTTTAAAAAAAGATAAACTTAATTGGGGCTAGAGAGATGGCTCAAGGGTTAAGAGCACTGGCTGCTCAAACAGAGGGCCCAGGTTTGGTTCCTAGCACCCACACGGTGGCTAACAATGTCCATAACTTCAGTTCCAGGGGATCTGACACTCTCTTTTGGTCTCTGTGAGCACTGCATGATATGGGTGCACTTATATACATGCAGGCAAAACACTCATACACATCAAATAAAAATAAAACCATTTTTGTAAAAGCACATACTGTTTAGCTTCTTAAACTGCGGGTTACAATTCTATATGAGGTTTATGTAACTGAATTTGGCAGGAGTAAAAGGTTTCTAAGAACCAAAGCTTAACTCAGACTCAATTGCACAATGAATCAGGTGTTTTAGGTGGCTCTTGACCATCTGAACACACAACATGCACACTCTGTACTCGATGGGCCATCATGCCATGCAGTACAGATGAGCACTGTCTAGAGCTTGGCTCAGACCTGAGACTATTGTATGTTATGAACTGGAGTGCTTTTACTGTACATAGGAAGTTTTCTGTTTTTAGAAAAACATAATGGTTTAATTATGGAAAACAAAGTCTTTTGACTTTGTTGTTGCTGTTTGTATTTTGAGACAGGGTCTTGCTATGTATTCCAGGCTGGTCTTGCATTCACAATCCTCCTGCCTCAGGATTACAGGCACGTGCTACCTTGCTTGGTTTGACAAAGGTTTCCTACTGTCATTCCTCAGCATATAAGAATCACATTAGTATGTTTTTGGATAGTGTTGTGTCAGAATGTTTGATTTTAAAACTTGCAGTTTTTGGGGCTGGAGAGATGGCTCAGCAGTTAAGAGCACTGACTGCTCTTGCAGAGGACCCAGGTTCGATTCCCAGCACCCACATGGTGGCTACGAACTGTCCTTAACTCCAGTTCCAAGGGAATCTGACGCCCTCTTCTGACCTCTGTGGCATTGCACAACACGGGTGCACTCACATACATGCAGGCAATACACTCATTCACATAAAATAAAAATAATAAAATATATTAAAAAAATAAAAATTGCTGTTTTATTTGCTAAGTCTCATAAAAAGTTGTTAGGGCTGGCAAGATGGCTCAATGAATTGCTGCCAAGCCTAACAACCTGAATTTGATCCCTATGACCCACAGAGTAGAGAGAATCAACTCCTGCAAGTTATCCTCTGATCTCCACATGCATGCTGTGGCATGTACATGCATACCCCCCACCAGACAAAATAAATAAAAATGTAATAAAAAAGAATTGTTTGATGAATTTGGGGTTAGGACAGAATTTCCAATAATTTCTGAAATGACCCTAAACATACTTCTGTCATTTATACTACCTACTTATGTGAGATAGCATTCTCAGCATTGCTAATTATAAAGTCAAAATATCAATCTAAAAAGGGTAAAGATGCTCTACATGCTGCAGTATTGAATAGTCAGCCAAGATTCACTTATTAATGTAAAAATAAGCACATGGATCTCTTTAGTATGCAAATTTGCTTTTAGCTTTAAGAAATGGTAAAATTATATGTATACCAAAAAATTGCTTAAAATAAATTTATGATTCATTATCAAAACATTTGATGTTTATATGTACTTATATACTTGTATACCTGCGGTTGTATAAAAATTTCTCCAGTAAAATTGGGTCACAAGTGGAAAAAGTTTAAGAAGCCTTGGTCTAGCCTGCTAAAGTGAGCAGTCAGTTTTGGTTTGCTTTTGTTTTGTTCTGATTAAAATATAAGTTTTAGTGGCAAACATATGAAGAAAAAAATATAGCCCCTAATCCCACTGCTCAATCCCTGTGGAAAGGTAGAAAGCATAGATATCCTGTTAGAAAATACAAACAGTATTCTTTTTTTTTGTGTGTGTGTATGCATGTATTGCCTGCATGTAAGTAAGTGCACCTGTGTCATGCAGTGCCCGTGGAGGTCAGAAGAGGCTGTCAGAAGAGGCTGTTGGATCCCCTGGGACTGGAGTTACGGACAGTTGTTAGCTTCCATGTGGGTGCTGGGATTCGAACTTGGGTCTTCTGCAAGAACAACCAGTGTTCTTAACCACTGAGCTATCTCTCGAGCCCACAAACGGTATTCTTAGAGAAGTATAAAAATGAACAGTGAGGACAACAAACTGTATTCTTAGAGAAGCATAAACATGAACAGCGTGGGCTGGAGAGATGGCTCAGCAGTTAAGAGCACTGGATGCTCTTGCAGAAGACCCGGGTTCTAATCCCAGCACCCACATAGCGGCTAACAACTGTCTGTAACTCCAGTCCCAGGGGATCTGACAGCCTCTTCTGACAGCCTCTTCTGACAGCCTCTTCTGACCTCACGGGCATTGCACTGCATGGGTGCACTTACTTACATGCAGGCAATACACACATACACATAAAATAAACATAAATAAATAAAAAATTCGCCTTTAATCCCAGCACTTGGGAGGCAGAGGCAGGTGGATCTTTGTGAGTTCGAGGGCAGCCTGGTCTACATAGCGAGTTCCAGGACAGCTGGGGCTCCAGGGAGACCCTGTCTCAAAAAGACAAAAATAAATAAATAAACAAACAAACAAACAAACAGTGCAGGGCTTCCCTTAACCACCGGTAACAGTTTCTCGTATTCCTTCTAGAAAACAATTGCATAAACCTACTTGTACACCCCCAGAGAGGTCCTGCTATGTGTAGCGTTGAAGAAGTCTATTGAATTGAGCAGCTGGGCCTTCTTGCTACTTTGTGTGGGGCCTCTCAAGCCCATCTATCCTACTGTGGTAGACCTGTGAGCTCACTAAGAGAAAGGCAAGCCCTCAGGTCTCCAGCTTAGATACGGGGACTGGCAAGGGTAGGTGTGCAATAAAGAATACATGAATGAGCTGGTGCTGTGTTTAGAAATCTGGAGATCTTTTGCCTGCTTGTCCAGTTGGTTAAGTGACTCATTCAGCAAATGTTTTGAGATTCTAAACTAAACATGTAGTGCTCTGTGTGGGGTATGTATGTATGTGTAGTGTAGGAGAGGTAGCAAAGGACTCAGCTCCTGGCCTCACCGAAGGGCAGAACAGGCAAAGCCAGAGATCTTCCAGCCTTCTTACTTAAAAAAAAATATTTATGAGCATGTGTGTGTGCATGCATGAGTATATGTGTACCATAAGCCAGAGAGCATTAGAGTCCTCTGGAACTGTGTTAAAGGTGGTTGTGAGCCACCTGATGTGGGTGCTAGGAACCAAACCCAGGTCCTCTGCAAGAGTAGTAAGCCTTCTTAACTGCTGAGCCATCCCTCCAGCCCCTTCTTGCTTTTGAATGGGTAAACTGAGTAGGGATATGTGGCCTGTTGACAAGGGCCATTACCTGCTCTTCAGAAGCTCTCTCTCTCTCTCTCTCTCTCTCTCTCTCTCTCTCTCTCTGTAGCTACCTGGTGGCCAGTTGGGAGGGTTGGTGAGGTACTCTTTCTTCTATCTCTTTTCCTCCTATCTTAAAAGCAACAATCTCCAACCACAGTTCCAAGAAAGAGGCAAAATCTCTGAGATGCCTGTGCAACCCTTGCCCAGTGTGTTTCAGGCAGAGGTGGCTACAAAAATCACAGGAAACCAAATCTTAACATTTTGTGATGGGAAAATCTTGCTTTTCCAAGATTCTGGGAATGCTGTTTGGATTGTCTTCCTGGATATTGAATTTTACTCTGTGAACCTGACCCATGGCACTAGGAACTCCAAACATGTTTTTCAGTTTATGACTAAGGCTAATCTCAATGAGTGCAAGACAGGCAAGACCCTTTGGGCCGGTTGTCACGAGCAACAGTACATAGGGGAGGTGTTGATGTCATGCAGGACATTTTGCTGCTTCTCTGGACCCTTTGGAAGCCCGGGCAGGTCCGACAGGAATGAACGTCCGTATTTTTCACAGCTCAGAGATGGGCTCTGAGCCGTTGTTTCTAGTCACTGCAAAGCCTCATCCTTCCCCAGTGCTCTTCCTACACATTGGGCAGGGCACCCTGAGACTCTGATGTCTCCATGGCGGGGTTTGTGGGGAGAAGGGGCAGGGAGCCCTGTACAGCCGGGAGGAACTTTGAGATCCTCCTGCCTGGACGGAACCTTTCTGGTGGAAAACCTCACAAAAGTAAAGCAGTGCAAAAGCGAGCTGAGGCCTGGAAGGCCCGGCTGGGCTGCTGACTTGCTGTGAAATCTGTACGACTTCAGAAAGTGGGTTGGACTCAAAAAAGAAAAACCAAAAAACCCACACAAACAACAAAACACCGACTCGCGAAGCACTTTCGCGTCTGTTACCTCCGCTTTAGCAGATTCTGCCGTTCCCACTTGCCGGGGAGAAAATCCGACCTGGGGAGAGGAAGGATCCTGCTCTCCCGTCCGGACCTTAGGGCCTGCGGAGCTCGGCTTCCCGGGGCAGCCGGCCTCTCCGGGTTGCGGGCCACGCCTGTCAAACCCTGGGCTAGGCTGAGCGCTGCCCCGCCCAGACCCCCAGGCGAGAGGCACGCCTTCGCGCCGCCATTGGCCTGGGCCTGCGGCCCGGAGAGCCAGTGGCCGGCGCGGCTGTCTGGCAGCGGGGGTCCGCCCCGCCCCGCCCCCGGGGTGCCGCCCCGTAGGACGCGGCGGCCGCTGCGGGGGTTGCGGTGCCGGAGCAGGCGCGCCGAGCCCTGCGCCCCGCGAGCCGCAGCGCCTGCTGTGAGGTGAGGAGAGGGCGGCTCGCGGCCGGGAGAGCGACCGCGCGGGGAACCCAGCGGCGTCCGAATTCGCCAGCGTGGGCGTGCTGCGGCCAGGCGAGTCGCGTGGGGCTGTTGCTGGAGAGCCAGGCTCGGGAGCGGGGACCGCCAGCGTGCGTGGGGCCCGGGCCTGAGAGACGCGAGAATGAGCGTGTGCACGTCTGGTGACGGGGTGCGCCCCGACGGCGGTGGAAGTCTGCACGCGGGAGCGCGACGGGCCGTGCCGGATCGGCTTGCGCTGCCCGAAGCCACGGCAGATGCGCGTGGCTCGGTGTGCGGGTGGCTCGGGGTGCGCGTGGCGGCCTCGCGCAGTGGGCGTGAACGCTCTCCGCGGGGCTGCGCGGGAGTCGCGTCTACGCGGGCAGCGCTGCTGAGGAGCACCTGAAGGTGCGTGGTCCCGGCCCGCCCGAGCCGACCCTACGCGTTCGCGCCGCCGCCCTCTGGGCGTCCGTCTAGGGAACGCGGGGATTCAGTTCGTCCGAAGAGGGCTGGTCTGGTTAGGCGGGGAGCGGCTCCGCGCGGGGTCAGGTGGGTCGAGCCGGCGGGGACCGTGTGGCGGCGCAGATCGCTGACTGGAAAGTGGCTGCTCGCACCCGGCACGGCCGGGCCCGCAGCTCACATTCTTAAGTCCGGTGCTGTCTCCCCTCCGCAGGAGCCCGGCGCGACCCCCAGCCGCGCGCCCCGCCCCGGCGCCATGCACTGCGAGGTGGCCGAAGGGCTTTCGGACAAGAGGCCCAAGGAGGCCCCGAGGGCGCCCGGCCCGGGCCTCGGAGCTCACATGGCCTTCAGGATCACCGTGAGTGGCGGCGGCTGCGGGGACGGGAGCCCGCGAGACCTGCTGCCCCGGCTGCCCGCGCCGCCACCCCGGAGCCCTCGAGACTACGGCCCGTCCAAAGCCGCCGGCGGAGGCAAGGGTGAGTCCTGCCCTGCCAAAGGGCCGGGCCCCGGGCCTGCCGGGGTTCCGCGTGCGGCTGCGCTGCCACCGGCCTCGTAGGGGTCCTCAGGCGAACTTGGTGGAACTTGAGGAGCTCCTAGTTCCTCAGTTTCTCAGTAGTTGGTTGGAACTTGTCAGTCTGAATGGACGCCTGGAGGCATCCAGTTTAAACCCAGTGGGCATGTTTGGGAGGAAATGTGTATAGAAAGCTCACATTGCATACTTTTGCTTCTGTATGTTTCTGATAAAAGTGTGAAACCTCAAAATTTTATTACATGTTAGGGGAGTAGCAACTCCTCTATCCCGGTAACTTTCTATCTGAGCTGCTGAAGGCGTACTTTGAAGTACTCCAATCTCTTTAAATAACAAAAACCAGCAGACTGGGGCAGGACCTCAGTTTCTCCATCTTTCAAGTTAGGAATTTATTATGCCAGATGATTTATTGATTCCTGATGGAAATTTTTCAGTATCTAATCCAGCCTGGGCCAGGTCTTGACTTAGAAATGGCTTTTCTTTTTGTACTTGGAAAAGCTGGTGCCTTCAGGCCAGCCTGGGACTCGTTATGGGCAAAGACAAGGAGTGGTGCTGGTATTCTCCTGGACATATTAGTCCAATCACAGTTAATTATTATCACAGTGTTATTTATGGGTTTCACGTTAACAGATAATTAACCAGGCATTAAAGGGATTAAGAGGATATGTCCACCCTCCTTTTTTTTTTTTTTTTTTTCCCTTTAGCAGAACCTTAAGCTTTGGGGTTTGATTATATAAGCTCTGGGGTCTTTTGACTCTCTTCTGGAGTGTATTTCAATGAAGACCAAACCAGGCAGTGCTTTATGACTATAGACCTCATTTTAGCATCGGCTCAGCACTTTAGGAGAGATAGGCCAGCTCCGTGTGATTGAAAGAAGTGCATAGAGGTTTCTCCTTTCTAAGGAAAACACCCCACTTTGTAAGAAAGAGTTCTTTCTTGTCTTCTTGTTTTTAAATGTCAGTCTCTTGTCCAAGCCAGAGATAACTTTTTTTAAAAAAAAATTTATTATTTTTATTTTACATGTGTGTATGTGTTGCCTGCATGTGGGTGAGTGCACCCGTGTCGTGCAATGCCTGCAGAGTTCAGAAGAGGCTGTTGGAGTTATGGACAGTTGTTAGTTGGCATGTGGCTGCTGGGATTCGAACCCGGGTCTTCTGCAAGAACAGCCAGTGTTCTTAACCGCCGAGCCATCTTTCTAGTCCCCTAGAGATAAATTTTAAAGAAGGATGTATGTGGGAAAAATACCTACAGAGTATTTTTTTCTTGAATTCTTATTCGAGACCTCTTACTGGAGAGACGAGAGAGCAGTGCTATGTAGGGAGTTGAGACCAATATTTTCTACAGAGAGTTCCCTGGTGTCTTGGGTCCTCTTATACTCATGCAACATTTGTGTGTTAAAAAAAAAATTATGGCTATTCTCTGCAGATCAAGTTCTGTATAGCCCTAGTGAATTGCTCTTCCCCACACAATATTTGTTCCACAGGATGGCTAGAGGCGTGTCCTTGGCATAATTTCTACTTCCATTACTTAAAGCCTCAATTGTTTTTCGTTTTTTTAATCTACCCATAACATATTTATTTATATATATATTTTTTAAAGTTAGGGTTGCATTTGGAAAGGACAGGGTAGGTAAAGAGCTGGGAAAGACCTATAGCTGGTCTTTCTGGTTGCATTGTCTCCCAGTGCTTCTAAGTTGTTTTTCTTCACAGCTTCCAGGTATTGAGGTGGAATAGATGACACCCATTTGAAAGGTGAGAAAACTGAGGCCAGCCAGAGGGGGAAGTGTCTAGTCTCTAGAAGGCCACCCACTAGATCAGGGGCTGTGGGAACCAGACCTCTGGGATAACCTCGCATTAGAGACAGGGAAGACTGCTTGCTCTTCGCAGTCAGGCCAGGTAGTCTCAGGTATCTGCCCTGCCAGTCTTCTCAACTCTCTTGGAAGTGCTGTTGATGAAATGGCACCTTCTTCCTACCCTCCTTGGAATAAAATAGTCATTAGATCACTCAAAACCCTTTGAATGTGTGCTGTCCAGCCCCGCACTCTCAGGCTTATTGGAAACAGACTAGTAGGAATACCAATTGAAGCATATTTATTAACTGTGCTGGAAATGAGAAGACACTCTCCCCATGATGGGTAGGACTCGGGGGAAGCTATTTCACTCCTTTGAGCCTCAGGCCTCCTCATTTACAGGAAATTTACCTTGAGACTGATTTGGAAAGACCGCTAGCATTCACAATAAAGGTGGGAAGGGATGTATTAATTAGTGCCTGGTTAATTTTAGGATTGCTGTTGTAATGTGTTTAATGTTTTCAGCCTCTGGTTTTTAATTTACACAAGAAGTGATAATGCACACCTCGCAAAGTCAACAAAACAAGGATGGTAAGAATGATATATAAACTGAAAAGATAGATCACTATTATTAATGTGCACAGGGTGCCATGCTAGGGACAGTGATGTTGTAGGTAAAGGGGAGAGAGAAATTGGAATGTTAGATGTTAAGGGCACTAATTCTGGTGCATTAGCCAGGGGAGGCCGAGTTGCACTGTGCTTCAGGTCTTCTGTGTCCACTGCCACCAGCGATGAGAAAGACTGAAGTGCTTAGCCTGGTATCAGGTTTCAGGTGATCTGCCTTCTACCTTAACAGACCTGAAGCAGAGGAAAGGAGTTTATCCATATGTGTTTGGGTCCTGTGTGTTTCCAGATCTGGACCAGGAGGGACTAGGCATGGTGTGACATCATGGGTTAACGCTGTCATCATTTACAATAAAAATCACTGTTTATGACCAAATTCCGTTTATACAGATTCCAAACAGTTTAAAAGGCCAAATTGCCAAATCTTACATTTTTTTTTCTTTATTAAACACCCAAGATTGCTTTTATTAGTCCTGACAGGGAAAGAAGGTAAACATCTGGGCTTTCCCTGGTGGACAGCTTTGTGGCCATGGCTGGATGATGTCTGCTCTGTGCTCAGGACTTCATGGTGTTCAGAGTATGTCCCCACACATTCCCTCATCCCACTCTGCCTACCTTGTGGGCTCTTCTGAGGGAACACGTGGAGCACTTTGTATCTGTATAGTATGAGACAGACACTGGCTCTTAGAAAAGTGACTCCCATTTTATAGATGAATGCATGTAGGTCCCCCAGGCTTTGCTCAAAGCTACAGATAGTAAAAAATATTTGATTCTGGTTCCATGACTTGTACCATCTAGCGTTTGAAAGCAGCTGGCATTTGTATTCAAGGCTTTCTGAACATTCCCAGAGAATTGAACTGTTTGCTTTTGATATGTCTCCTGTCTTAAATCTTTAGAAGTTGGTAACTAGCCTGTATGCCATGTCTAGAAGACTTTGTAGTTTACCAGATTCCATCTGTCCATACCAGATAAAGAGGTTACTATTTAATTCACAGCAATTGACTGGGGCCTGGGACCTTTTTACCATATACTGTACATACTAACAACAACCACCAAAAAGACATTGATGATTGCCACAAATGTGAACTCTGCCATTAGTTAAACAACTACCCTAACATGGATGTATATGCCCCAAAATAGTCTTGTAGCTTAGAAAGAAAGAAAGAAAGAAAGAGAAAGAAAGAAAGAAAAAAAGAGAGAGATTAATTAATTCTAGGCTGTATGCCTGTGTGTCATTGGTGATGGAGAGCAAGATGTGATGGTTTCAGTGGTATTAATCTGATTGAGTTTCTTCTTATGAGCAGGAAGCCACTGCCGTATTCTGGGAGGCATGGAGAGGCTTGCGCATCTGTAGTAGAAAGGTATGAGTTATTTTTAAAGCATTTCCCCCCTCCGGCTCTGGTGGGCAATTTGCTTGCATTTCATCCATTTTAAAGTGCTGGTCCTGTGATCCGGAAATAATCAGATCCAAATTTTTTCAGTGCTTGAGGTTTCAAATACGGGGAAGAAAAACCTGCTGACCAAATGTCAGACTCGCTGAGACAAAGAGAAACAAGTATGTGTGTGGGTATACAAATGAGATAGGAACATGTTGCGTCTACAGTTGTATCTGACAAATCTTTTATAGACATGTAGCGGAAATATAATTCCCAAAGAGTCCCTTCAAATTTTGTGCAGCTAGAATTTCTCTTCTTTTCCTGCTTCCCAAGCTCTCTAGAAGCTGTTAAGACTTGGCCGACAAAGTGGAAAGGGAGCCATCTCATAAGATGGTGACTTCACTAGGGCCTTGTTTCACTGTAGTTTACCTGGTGTACTTAGATGGCCTTTGATGGACCCTCTTTGTTGTGGACTGGAATTGATAGGGTGAGTTTCTCTATCAGTGTGAATTTTTTTGTACATTGTGGTTTTTCTTCACATTTCTGAAAAAAGAAAACCATCCCATCCCATTATTCACCTCCCTGTGTTTCTTTTGCATGAGAAGGCAAGTGATCCGGCACGCTTATTTTCACAGTGCGTTAAAATCCTATCACAGGCATAAGTGCACAGTGAATCATTTAAAAACGATATTCTTATATTCTTTGTTCTAAATGTTGCACAATTATCATCATTTTCTTTGGTTTTATTTTGTGGAGTTTGGCCAGCATCTTAGCCGAGAGGAGAAACTTCAGTTTGAAATAGGAGTTTCATTCCTTTTTGGGATAGGATTAGGAAGAAAAAGCAACAGACAAACTTTATTTGGAAATTGGCCAGTGACTATCGCTAACTGTGGCTTTTACGTAAAGAAGATTTTTCTCTAAATTTTATTGGGAAGAAGTCCCATTTTGAATCTGATACAGTGGTACCTTTGTGTGCGCGCGTGTGTGTGTGTGTGTGTGTGTGTGTGTGTGTGTGTGTGTGTGTGTGTATGGTTATAGTCAAAGTTAAATGATCAAATTTAGTTTGCTAATATTTTTTCCAAACTAGGTTTTAGTTGCATTTAGTTTGGACCTAGAGAGTAAGTTGTTTCTTTAGGTAGGGGGTAGTAGTTTATTTTT